CTTTTGGGCAGTCCCACTGTTGTGGGTAGATCCTAATTTGACTGGGCGTTCATTTGCCGACATATTAACCTTTCTTGAGTGGGGAGATGACCAAGGCTGGTGACCTGCTCATTTCTGAGATTCCTTCCTCAGGGTGCACCTGGTTTAAGCCTCCTGGCTGCACTTTCAAACTGGAGGAGAAGCATGGGCCAAATCCAGGGGATCCCACATGTGGCTCCCACCCTGGCAGAGACAGGAGCATTGCTCGGAGCAAAGGGGAAAGAGCAAAGTATTTCCTGCTGCCAAGCTGACTGCTGACCGGCTGGGAGGCAGAGGCAAGTGGGGAAAGTCACATGGCCCCACCAAATGTAGTAAGTGTACTTCGCTCAGCTGAGAGGGGCTGGCTGGGGCATGCTGGCAATTGCAGAACTTTCTACCATTGAAGCACACATAGGATTGCCCCCCAGGAGGCAAATTTATTGGAAGATATGCAGAACATCAGATGCACTGCGCTGCCCAGGGATTCCTGCACCAGCCACACTGAAATGGCAGGATCTGTTAACATCTCAGGAAATGCCCCATTCTATTCAAAAGTTGCACCATTTTCCCTAAATGGTATTTCTGTAAAGTGGGAGACTTAGCCATCTAATGTTCCCTCTGCCATCACTCCTTTTTTCTCCCCAGGACAACCATTTGACCCCCATTTACAGATTAAGAATGCAGTTGCAAATGTCATCTGCTCCATCACTTTTGGAGACCGTTTTGATTATTCTGACAGTAAATTCCTGCAGCTATTGCACTTGATTGATGAAACTACAGAACTTGAAGAAAGTATTTGGATCCAGGTATGGAAGCATTGTGATCGGGTGGACAGTCACACCCAAATCCCACCTATTTTCCTGTCTCCTTTCAACTGTCACCTATGACTAGATCGTTCTTCCCCAGTGCCTCTCCTTCTTTGTCCTCAGACAGTCTCTTTTTCCTCTTGTGTCCAGTACCCTCCTGCAGAAAAGCTGAGGTGACACTGAGGATGCATGGCTCGAGGTGTGTGCATTCTCAGTATGCCCCCAAATTTGTAACGTGCTAGGGCACAGCTAAGCCTGTCAGGCATGGCTTACAAGGCTAAGCCAGACCCAGCTGAATAGCCGAGCATCCGACATGCAAGCCCTGTGGTTCAGTGAGCAGTATCCTGCATTGCTACTCCACTCCCAGTGCCTCCCTTGCTTCAGCAGGATCCCCTGCTGGTGCTTCATGAAGCAATCTCAGAAAAGGGAAGAATTGCCTGTCTCTGGAACAGGAAAGGGTGCCCCACTGACCTGTCACAATCTGGAAAGAAGCCTTTGAAGTTCATTTTCTTTCCTTACCTTCGCTTTCTTTTGCACTTGCAGTGCAAAACTAAAATAAAATAAAATAAAGCACATGGTCCTCAATGTCAATATACAACTGTCTGGAGTATCGGGAAATAAACAGGACGGATATGAACTCTTAATACAGGAGGATGAATATGACCTGATAGGTATAACTGAAACTTGGTGGGATGACTCCCATGAATGGAATTCAGCAATTGAAGGATATCACCTGTTCAAGAGGAACAGAAGGAAAAGAAAGGGAGGCGGAGACTTTAATGTATATTAAAGATGCCTATCTCTGCACAGAAACATGGGAGGATCTTAGTAGGCCCAACAAGAGCATCTGGATTAATATGAACAGACCAAGGAATAAAAGGAACACTGTGGTTGAGTCTATTACCATCCACCCAGGAAAGGGGAAGACAAGGATGAAACCTTTGACAAGCAAATTGCCAGTGTTTCAAGGAGGCGAGATGTCATCATTATGTGGGATTTCCATTCCGCCAACCCCTTTTGGGAGACACATTTTGCCAAACGTGGCCCCTTCAAGAGATGACAATCTGAGAGATGACTGGAAAACAAAAAAGGACATGTATTGGAATTGGAAGGGAGGCCAGACTAAAAAGGAAGAGTACAAGGAAGTAACATGGAATTGCAGGGATGTATCAGGAAGGCCAAAGCTAGAAATGAACTTAGGCTAGCAAGGGATGCTAAAAGCAACAAAGAAGCCCTTTTCAGATACATCCATAGTAAAAGACAAAGGAAAGAAAGGGTGGCTCAGCTACTAGGTGTGGATGGCAAGATGGTAACAGCTGAGAAAGAAAAAGCAGAAGTGCTCAGTTCTTACTTTGGCTCAGTCTTCTCCCAGAGAAACATGTACAACCTCCCTGATGAAGGGGAAGCGCAACCTGAAGGAGCAGGATGACAGCTTGAGATTAATAAACACATGATCAAGGAATACCTAATTCATTTGAATGAGTTCATGTCCCCAGGATCCAAAGCACTCCATCCTACAGTAGTAAAAGAACTGGCAGAAGAACTCTCAGGACCACTCTATCATCTTTGAGAAATCATAGAGAAATGACAGATGATGGAACAAGACCTAATGTTGTTTCTAGCTCTGGGAAATAAAAACCAATCAGTCTGACATCAGTAATCCCTGATCAAATTCTGGAGAAGGTTAGAAAGCAGTTAGTCTGGAAACACCTTGAAAACAGTACAGTGATTACCAGAAGCCAGCATGGATTTGTCAAGAACAAATCCTGCCAGACTACACTGATCTCATTTCTTGATTGGGTCCCATCCGTAGTGGACTATGGAAATGTTGTGGACATGATCTATCTTGACTTCAGGAAAGCTTTTGACAGAGTGCCCCATGATATCCTGATTAGTAAACTAGCTCTGACTGGGCTACGTGGAACATCGATCAGGTGGAGCCACAGTTGGATCCAGAGACTGAACTCAGAGACTGCTCATCAATGGCACCTTCTCAAACTGGGGAATGGTAACAAGTGGGGTCTGCAGGGTTCAGTCCTGGATCCAGCCCTCTTCAACATTTTCATGAATGACTTAGATGAGGAAATGCAGGGAACGATCATCAGATCTGCAGGTAACACCAAATTGTGTGGGATGGCTAATATCCTGGAAGACAGAAACAAAATTCAGAGTGATCCTTATAGTTTGGAGTGCTGGATGAAAACAGCAGAACAAAGTTTAATAGGGATAAATGCCAAGTTCTGCACCTTGGAAGAAGACAAATGCATAGTTAGAGGGTGGGGGATACTTGGTTCAACCATACTATGCAAGAAAGATCATGGAAAGGGTTCAGAAGATGAAAGCTGAAATGAGGTCCTATGAAGGAGAAATTGAAAGACGCAGGCAAGGTTAGAGCGCTTTTCAAATATGAGAAAGGTTGTCAAGTCGCAGGAGGCCAGATTCCAGCTGAACATCAGGAAGAAATTCCTGAATCTCAGCACAATGCAACAGTGGAACCAGTTATCTGGGGTGTAGGGTCATGATCTCCCCCACACTAGAGGTGTTGGCTTTGAGTCCTGCATTGTCCCAGGGGACTGGATACATTGCCTTAAACGCTCCTTCATCTCCACCATTCTGGTGTACATTACTTGCATTTTGTTTCGTGTATGCATTACATATGCCTCTTCTTTCTCTAGGTTTCCGTCACCTGATAGTGCAAGGATGGGCAACGGTTTTGAGGAGTTCACTAGAAGTTTGGCATTTTGTCTCTTTCAAGCCATGTCACTGTATTGTTTGTTTCCCCAGGTGTACCAAGCCTTTCCAGCCCTCATGAAATACTTGCCAGGAACCCATCAGACTGTTTTTAAAAACTGGAGACTTTACAAATCCTTTGTGCGAGAAATAATTGACAACCACAAAGAAGACTGGAACCCACATGAAACGAGAGATTTCATTGATGCTTATCTGAATGAAATGGCCAAGGTAATTGATCAGCTGAGAAGAGGAGGGAAATTTGTTGCTTAACTCTTAGGCTTTCCACCATCACTCCACCCTTGCAAGACAGAACTCGGGGGGCTAGAAGGATGAGGTGGAGGGGCAGGGATAGAGGACTGCCTCTCTCCACAGGCCTAAATGCCTGAAGGGGGCTAGACATCCCTTCATAGATCCTCAGTGATATGTAAAAGCAAACAGTCAACATGGCCAAATAATAACAGCAATTTGTAAAAAGACTGCTTTGGGGTCATCACATGATCTCCTGATATTCCTGCCCATGTGGAATCCTGGTCAGCAATTATTGGGAGTCTTTCCATTCCCTTCCTTTGTACTTAATCCCAGCGTCAGAGATTCCAGTGAATCTTGGATTGATGGTATGCGGGTCCTGAATGCAGATGTTGACCCATATGACAGCAAGGGCTGATGTACTTAGTAAAAGGCTAACATGCTTTCTCATTCTCATTTCCTCAGGAAGACGCTGCTCCCAGTTTCCATGAGGAAAACCTGCTACAATCTGCACTGGATCTTTTTGTTGCCGGAATAGAGACAACTTCCGCAACGCTCCGCTGGGCTCTGCTGTACATGGTGCTTCATCCAGACATCCAAGGTAGCGCTGTGCGTCTGTCTTTGCACAGCTTCCCTGTGAAGCTCACTCCATTGCACCTTGCTCGGTGAAGCAATTCATTGACCCTACATTGGGGGCAAAAGAGTCATTTCAGATAAGTCATTTCAGAACAGTGAAGCTGGCCCTGGTTTTCTTAGAGAAGTCCTGTTTGCCTGACAGTGCAGTTCTGTTTTCTGCTGTCTGTTGATGGCAATCGTTGTTTTGCCTGCAGCCAGAGTCCAAGCAGAAATCGATTCCGTGATTGGGCAGTCGCGACAGCCGGCAGCGGAGGACCGGGATCGTATGCCCTACACCAACGCAGTCATTCACGAAGTCCAGAGGATCAGCAACATTCTGGCTATAAATGTGCACCGGATGACTACAAAGGATACAACCCTGGCTGGATTTCACCTGCCCAAGGTAAGTGTTAATGAAACAGTTCTGATCCTTGCAATGTATCTTTCCTTGGAACAATGAACTCTATGCAGAGAATCCAAATACACTGCAGGTGCCAGTGGTGAAGGAGACTGCCTGCAGTGATCCCAAATGTCTGGGGTCCTGTTGAAAGTGCTGTCTGTGGGGGAAGGGGGTGGCTTGGCTGTGTCAAATATAGCTGCTGCGGTAGGCCTGGCTGGTTCCAGAATGCTCATGGCAAAGAAGATAACCTGATGCGAGCAGAGGAAAAGGGAGCTTAGAACCAAAACCCTGATTGGTGAGGGCGTGAGCTCCAAACACAACACTTCTCTCCTGAATCATAGAAAGAAAGAAATAGAATGAGTCAGAGGGGGCCTCCCAGGCCACCTAGTCAGACCCCCGACTCAAGCTGACTCCACTAATGACATGCCTACCATGTGCATGTTCAGCCTATCCTTGAACACCCTCACCAAACACCACCACCTCCTCTGGAGCTGCTGCCCTTCAAGCAGTTCTTGGGGAGTATTTTGTCCTGGAAGGGGTGAAATGGACTGGGAGCTCTTGCGTCCGTCCAACACCTCTGTGAACCTGGATGCTCATCACATTGCCTATGAAGTTCTTGAAGCCTGTCAGTATGGTGGGCATCCAGTCCTAACTCTGAAGCAGCCCCACATTTTGAAAGCCTACTAAGACATCTAAAAGGGGATCTGAGTCTAGTGCCTCATTCCAAGAATTCCTATGCAAGGAATAGATAATCTGATGGCCAGAAATGCTCTGCATGTCTGTAGGTACGGCTGGGTACTTAGTGCAGTCATCCATTCACTGATGAGTACTCTGAGGAGTTCCCTGATGTTTCTGTCCATCTCTTTCTCTATGTTTGCTTTGACAGGGAAGCATCATGATCACCAACCTGACCTCCGTACTGTTTGACAAGGATGAGTGGGAAACACCTGATGTGTTCAATCCTGGCCATTTCCTTGAGAACGGCCACTTCAGGAAAAGGGAAGCGTTCATCCCATTCTCTATAGGTAGATCATGTTGATGTTGATGATGATGATGATGTCAATGGCAATAATTGATGAACTGCTCATAACTATCACATAAGGCAACGATTATGTGGATGCCCAAGTAAAAGAACGACCAGAGGAAGGCAACAAGGATGATCAGGGCACTGAAAGCATACGGAGAGATTGAAAGAACTGAGCATGTTTGGCCATGAGAAGAGAAGATCGAGGGGTGATTTGATCACCCTCTTCAAGCACTAGAAAGGCTGACCTACAGGACAGGATTGCTTCTCCATCCGAGGGTGGAGGACATGGAAAATAAGGGCTCAAGATACAGGAAGCCAGATTCCAGCTTTATTTTTTGTAGATACAATAATCAGGAAGAACTTCCTGATCGTTAGAGCAGAGAAAATGGGAAATGGAAAATGGTCTTGGGCAAGGGTAGGCAGGTGGGAGGGAGGGACCTTACCAGTTTCTTTCTTCCCTCCCACTGCATTTTTTTCATGCCCCCGCAGAAGATTTTCAGGACACGCAGAGCTGTTGGGGCCAGAAGCATTGGGAGGCTGGCCTCCTTGCCACCTCCTTCCAGGGAGGCAGCATCCCGCTCTGCAGTTATCTGGATATAAGCCCATTCACCAGACGTTTTAGGTCTGAATTGCTGTGGAATATGTTGTTCCCTCTCTAAGTCTTTGGGATTTGGGAAATGGAGAAAAAGCATTAAGTCTGCACCACATCATGTCCAATATTTCAGTGTCCTAAAATCCAGGGCCACATTTGTCCAGGTTTCCCTCTTGCTTGAATAAGTATTGGATGCAACAGGTTTGTATATAACTTGTAGGCACACAGCAATGACATTCTCCATCCTGGTCTGCCAGGGTCCTGTGCTTCACTGTGTTTTGTGTGAAGTCCGCTGCTAATTTAGCCACTGTGTCCTCTCTCCTAGGGAAGCGAGCGTGTCTCGGAGAGCAGCTGGCCAGGACGGAGCTTTTCCTTTTCTTCACTGCTCTAATCCAGAAGTTCACTTTCCAGGCTCCAGAGAATGTGACTTTAAGCCTCGACCCGAGGGTGGGCTTTACATTGGCTCCTCAGCCATACCGGCTACACGCATTCTCTCGCTGAGAAAGCCACGTTATCCTTAGCCACATCT